GTTAGTCTGTGCTCTAGAGGCAAAGGCTCCGTGGCGGCTGAGGCGGGCGCGTCGTGCCGGGTGGCTCCGGTTTGCGGGGAGCAGAGGCAGCGCGCGGGCCCCCGCGGAGCCCCGGCTCGCCCGCAGCTCCGGCCGCTTCGCGCCCGCCTGCCGGCTCCGCGCGGCCTCCCGCCCTGCCGCCGCGGCCCGGCAGAGGGCGCCCGCGGAGCGCCCGTCATGGCCGCCCTCGCCTCGCCTCGCTCCCCGCGCGGAGCCCCGGCCTGTGCTCCCGGCCCGCCCTGCCCCGCAGCCTCTGCCACCTTTACACCCCACGTTCTCGCCAGGACACCCCGCAATTTCCATCTCCATGTGAGGAGGAACTTATTTCCTGTGAGGGTGACGGAGCCCTGGAACAGGCTGCCAAGAGAGGCTGTGGAGTCTCCTTCTCTGGAGATCTTCAAAGCCCATCAGGATGCCGCCCAGTGCCCCGTGCTCTGGGTGTCCCTGCTGGAGCAGGGGAGTTGGACTAGATGATCTCTAGAGGTCCCTTCCAACCTCAGCTATTCTGTGATCCTGTGAATTTGTTCCAATAAGTCACCATAATTGCTTCCCTTAGCCATCCTGGCCACCCTGTTATGCCTACCAGGGCATGAGGGCACCTCGCCTGCTGGCACCTGGCTGTGGCTCAGGCGGGATACCAGCGTGACCAGAGCTCTCCTGAGCTGTGGGCAGTAAAAGATTTCAAGGACATCTCCCCACATTCATCCCAGTTATGTCTCCTGCTAAAATAGGTTAACGGTGTCTAATTAACCACTGAACATTGTCATGCTGCATAAAGATAGCATCCTGGCTGTTCTCTGAGCCCTGCTACTTTATCTCCATTTAGATCTCCGTGGTAGTCCATTAAATGAGAAAGAAACAGTTTAACAGAGATGATGTCTACATTAGAACTGCCTTTCACCCCTCAGCACAGACCAAGCGGCAGGTTCCAAGGCAGTTCAGCGAGGGAGGTGGGGGAAAGCCTGGGTTGGAGATTCAGCCTCTTCTTGTTAATGCAGTGGGGAGATTCTTGCTGGTGGAATAGAGAGCAAATGCAGAGGTTGTACCCTCTGCCCCAGCAGGTGAGCGTTGGGTGATAGGAATTACCTAACAAAGTGGGACAGGATCCATTGGCGGTCTTCTGTCCAATTTCTCAGCTTTTCAAACCACTGAAATAGGGAAGTGGCAGTTAGTGAAAGCCAGTGAAAATATTTTAAGATTTAGGTTATGTTTGGGAGCACAGACAACCTTGCAGTGAAAGGGATTTTAAACACAGCTATCTGGAAGATAGGGATGGTTCCAGTCCTTTGGTCCGCAGGAAGGAATGGGCCACATGCCGTAGGTAACCATGCATGTGCAGCGGGGGTTGGACTAGATGACCTCTGGAGGTCCCTTCCAACCCTAAGCATTCTATGATTCTAATCAGAAGAAATGAGAGGAGCAGAGGTATGGTTGGTTGAGCAAAATTGGTGTATGATATATCAGACCAATTGCATTCCTGATCACTGGTCCCAGGATAAGCTACGGACTGCCCTTTCTTGTGTAAATGTACCTGTAGTTCATACACAACTCATCATTTTGTAGATGCTTCTTGTTGCCCTCTCTATGCTATGCCTTCAGCTGGAGCAGACAAGCAAGTGCAGTGCGGATTCCTTGGAGCTGCTGAGGGCATGGGAGACACAGTGGACATCTACTAATATTGCCTTCTGTTTACATGCTGGTTTCTTCCATGTCTCCTCTAAGTGGTCACTGGAAAGCTGTTGTGGTGGGTGAGGAGGATGCTAGGTATCCAGGCCTGATGGTCATGAAGGATAAAATGTTGGTTTCAACGTGTTGCAGTTGGCAGTGAACTACTGAACTAAACACTGAACTAAAACAGCATAACCTTATGACACTTCATAGCAACTGCATGCCGAAGAGACAAGCAGGTGACTAGTTTTGAAGCAATGGTACCCCCATGCCGTACCCTCCCTTAATGAACAGGGTTCAAGTTAGGGCACCTTGTAAGAGTCTCTTTGAAACTTTTTTTCTGTTAGCATTCTGGTATCTTTACACCTTAGAGCAGAGTGCAGAGCTTCTCTTCTCTGTCTGGGTCACTTGGTTAGACAGGTTTAGGTAATGTGATTAGAATTTTTCCAAATAAACAAAAGATCAGACTGCAACAAACCAAAACTATCGTATTTATTTTCCAAACTATAACAAAGTGAAAATGTAATTGTCATTGAAAAAACATTAAAGGAAAACTTTGGATGTAAGCGAAGGGAAGGAAATGATAGGCAGGGTGTTAGGTCTTAACCTAATGGCTCAGTTACTGGAGCTATTTCATAATGAATTAAAACTATTTAGTGTAGCTGTGGATAGTTTTGGGAATGCTGAAACTACCTTCTTCTAGAATTGTGTAGACATATGCAAATACTGTACAAAATTGTCAAGTGTGACATTTTCTCCCCTGCTCTCTTATCACTACTTCTTTTTTGTACCAAGTCACCAGCCATAGTGCACATGGTGGGATGTGAACTAGCCTTTTGTTACATGTTGCAGGTAGTAAAACAGGTAGTCCTGATCTGTGAACACTGAGAGTTACTACCTTACAAAAGGTAAATAATAATCGCATCCATTATTGATTACTGTGCCCGTGTCTGAATTGCTCAATCCTGCCAAGCTGCCAAGAGACAGCTTGCTAAAATGCTGTTATATCTTCTAGAGCCCCTTTTTCCACTTTACTGAGAAATGTGTTGATTGTCCAGCAGAACTTGTAGCTCTCAGCCTTCATTTAGGAGTTTGGAAATGTGTGATTGAGGTTGTTTCCTAAAAAGCCACAAGCTTCATAGAGCTTGTCTGGCAAATTCATCTGTAGAAATTATGGGTTTGTCTCCCATGGACAGCTCCTAGGTGAAAGGATTTGTGGCTATTCATCAGCGCAAAAATAAGCCTGATGTTAGTAGGAGAAAAAAATTAAACCTAAGCCAGGGCCATTGGGAATCCCGGCAAAGTTGTCAAGGTTTGGGATTGCCTAGATCACAAAGCTGAATTCCTATGGTGTATGTTTTCCTATTATGCTCAGTGAGTCCTTTTCTAATGTGTCGAGAGAGCTGAGAAAGCTTTAAGACTGGGAACGTGAGTAAAATAGTCTCTGCCTTTAGGACTAACACATGATTGCCTTCCCTGTGGGCTACCTGGTTGTGTTTGAGGACAGGGAGCTCAGGAGAAAGAAACAGAAACTGCTTACAGGGATAGTGACCTTCTCCTGGGAAGTGAACATGTGGAGCATTTCACTCCTGCCTGGGGACAGGAGATGAGCAAGCATGCAAAGAGTGGGAGTATTGAGTAAAAGAGAGGATTGCTTGGGATGGACAATTATCAAGAGGACTGTGCCAAGAAGAGTTTAGAGTGACCCTCCAGGAAACTATCCCGCTGTGCAAAGCTATAGGATTGTCTCCTGAGGGAGGAGCTAGAAGTGCCCATCGTTGAAGATGTTTCAGCTCTGAGAGGGCAAGGCTCTGAGGACAGGGTGTGGGAAGCAGTTCTGTGTAGGCAGGAGGGACTGCTGAAATAGGATAAATCTTGGTCTTTTTTTTATCTCTGTCTTCTAGGATTCAGAATCTCCTGGGTGAGCCAGTGAGGGAGTCCCTTGGAGTCCTTCCTTTCCCCGTTTGTACTGTGAGGGTTTGCTGCATGTGCTTGGCACTCCTGGGGAGAAGGATAGAAGTGGGGAGAATAGGGGAGAAGGATAGAATTACTCCTCATTGCAAGTGCCCTCTCCTGGATTCCCCACCTCCGTTACACTCCTCCCTTTTGTGAGGAGCAGCAGAAGTCTGCAGCTCAAAGCTCAGGTGCAGGTGTCACTGCTGTGGCTTCAGTTCTGATCATGGCAGTGCATTTTGGTAGACTCCATTCACTGACTTGGTTTGATCTTTAGCTTCTCACAGACGTTAGCTCCAGGGAGAACAGGGCAGGCAAGGGGCTCTCTTCTCCTCCTGGCTAGACATTGAGTCCTGACAGGAGCTAGGTGAGGCCTGTAGCCTGCTAGAATGGGGACTAGCTGAGAGGAGAAGCCTGCCCCATCTCATGGAAGTGCTTTGAAAGATGTGAGGCGATGGAGCAGCTTCTCTTACCTCACGGTGCGTGTCGGGACAGCGCGTGCGGATGAGAGCCCTGTGTATTCCTATTCATGCCACCCTGGATTCCAGGGAGGGGAGAATATTTATTCCCAACGCACAGAGTTGAAACTTCATTCTGCAAAATGGCCAAAGCAATCAGCGAGTGATGGAGTATCTGCTAAAAAGAAACCTGGCATTTAATTAACTTTTCAAAGTGCTGGTTCAGCAACCTCCATGTTTTACATTTTGAATATTGAACAAGCGTCCCTAATCGGAACTGAATTACTTCTGGGCTTGCTGGGGTGGAGAGGGAGAGAGCAGCCATTTGCCAGCGCCTCCCCCCCACGTTATTATTATGAACTCCTGTTAACTCAGCCAGATCAACCCTGATTTACTGCAGCGGCAGCGTGTCTGACCTGAACGTGGCCAGCTCAGGTGGCCAGCTCCTAACCTACAAAGGCGAACAGGTAATCCTTGTGCAAGATCAGGCCAGGAAGGCCCTGCTGGTCTCTCAGGAGCAGGTGGAAAGAGCATAACATCTTCTTCATTCCTCACGTGCTGACCTCTGTACTCAGATAGGGCTCATGGCAGAAGGGATGGAAAAGTATCTGTGGAACTAGGGAAATAGGACGTATGGCTCTCACTGTTTCTGGACCTGGCTGTCTCTTGTCTCCCAAGTAATTCTGCTTTAATCTGATGCACTCAGGGGCTTTTTGATGCACTGATTTAGTGTTCACTGTTTTAGTCCATGGCACTCAGCAATCTTTGAAGGTGCAATGTGTTATACCATGCTTGGGTTTAAGAACCGTTTTGCACAATGAGAGTGTTACGAGGACAGATGTGTTTTTTCTCTTTTTCTGTAACCCTTTCCTTGCTTTGCAGGTCAGGAAGAAAGCACGCAGAAGAAGTAGAAGAGTAAGTTTCTGTTCTCCATTAAGGAAGGCGAAATAGACTTCAACAACTTTCCCATCTGACCTCATGAAGTAGGGACATGTGGCTCTGCACACCGGTATACTCAGATCTGAAATTTGGGAAGGGTGTAGAGATTAGCGTGAGTGCATGTGATGTGTTCTGGAGTGTGGCAGGGCTGTGACTCTGAGGTTCCCAGTGTATGGCAGAAGGAAAAAGTGGAAAACACCCCCTTTCCTACCAGGCTCATACAAGGCCCTGCTCAGCAGCAGTGTAAAGAAGCTTAGGTGCTTGTCTAGTGTTCAAGAGGTCTTGTTTAAGCAGTCTCAACTGAGATTTCTGCTGAGCCCAGCAACGAGGAGTGTAGGAGAAAGTCTCCAGGCTGGGCACATTTGGGAATTCAACAGGCCACGAGGGCTATGGGGGGAGAGGAGCTGTCCAAAAAGAACTTTTCTGGACATGTCTTTGAAATTTTTTTCTCTTTGTGTTTTCTTGCAGCCACCGTCTCAAGCAGCAGAGCCTGGAGGCATCAGATGATGGAGGAGGTAAGGTACCACCTGCTAAACCTGCCTTCTGTCTGGCAGTGCTGCAGGAAAGTGGAGAGATGCATCTTGTAAGAAATGGCAAGGAAATGTTTACCCCCTGGCTGCTCTGGGGTAAACAAACACAGGAACAGGCGCTGCTGTTGTCTCTCCAACTGCTGGATGGGAAAGAGAGAGTAAAGTAAGGAGGATAAGAACATGACACCTGTGGTCTAAGTCTGGCTCTTTGTTAACATAGAATGATCAAGCATTTCTGGGAAGATGGAAGGGCTTGAGGACATGTTTTCCTTTGTGATTACCTCCACAAGAATAGTGCAGGGGGAAAGAAGAGAGCTAAAAGACCAGTAACTGATTGAGAGCAGGGAAAGAAAGCACTGCTGTCCCCTTGCTTAGGCAGCAACAAGCTCAACGTCAAGCCCATCTTCTATTGTATGGTAGCACTATTGTCTTTGCTCATCAGGACAAGTGCCTGCCCTGCCTTCCTGAGGCCCCTTATCCTGTTCTCACCAAGTACTCCAGGTCTCACTCTTTTTTGGTTTAGGGTGATAAAGACTTCATGAAATTCTTCATTTTAAAAATCTGCTTGCCCTAACGAAAGATCAAAGATCATATGCTAAACAAACACATGGTAAGTTATCCCATTCCAGTTCTGCCAGGCTTCTGACATAGCTCCAGTTTTCTTCATAGTATGTATCTGCTACTCTTCTAAGGTCAAATAAGCTAAGGGAAATACCAGGAAAAATCCGAAGTATGAAGTTCTAGACAAACTCTAGCCAGAGTACAGAGAAGGTTAGTGAGCACAGAAACTCATTAAAATTTCTAGGAGCTACCTCAACTTTTAAGGTCTAATAATTTTCTAGAGTGAATATAAAGTTGCATCTGTAAAATATCACCAAGCATCAACAGAATTATCAGGAGTCACAAAGGTTCACACATCAGTATGGTTAATGAGACTAAAGAGAAGACTTATTTGGGTCGTGCAGACAGATTAAGTATTGCAACATATGACTGCCAGAAGTGGCACCTTTATAGCATTGGCATCTTTGGAATAGACTTAATTTCCCCCCTGGGAAGCTTCTTGGGCTTAAATTTCAGTGTATATCACCGAGTCTGATAGTCTGTTCTAAACAGCTCCTTGACTATTCACATATGTGCTGTCCTTCTTGTTGAACTTTGGTCTTGTGTTCAGAATATGATAACTTTCTTTCCTAATCAGGAATAAAAATGCTTGCCACATGTTTGCAGCATGTGACTTTTAATGCTTCAAGACCTTGGGTAATAAATACCTAAATAGAATTGTACAGAATGTGGAATGAATGCATAGTAAGTCATAATGCATTTCACTTATTTACCTGAAGATAACCTACAGTTAACAGTTGATTTGGGATTGTTGACAAACCAAAATTCAACTTTGAATTATGTGTGCATGTGCAAAGAAAGACACCGCTAGTCTTATTATAGTTCTTTTCAAGACAATTTCTGATACAGTCAAATACACTGGATTGTGGAACTATTTTGCTCAAGGAGAATGTCTAAATAAGCAGTACATCGCGTCCTTGTGTCATGTTTCTACTGAGAGAAGGGTTCTCTATGTAGGCTTAGCAATTGCAGAGAGGAAAAGTGATGCACAGAGTCCTGAACCCAAATAGAATTACTTCAGTGAATAAGCACAAGAATTCAGATAAATAACACAGTGTAGAAGGCAGAGCACCATGCTGTACTGAGTTGTATCGGCCTCCTTGGCACAGAACTGCACCTGGGCTTGTGTCCTTATCTGCAACAAAGCAGCTCAGATTCTGAACACACAAACCCCTAGACACTGGTGTGTGGCTCCCCAAGGAGGGGTCATGGTCGTTTTGTGCTGCATAATGTGTTAGCTTGTACACCTTAATATGAACAGGCACAGTTGTCTAATGATTGCTGCTGTCAACGAGTGCGCTTGGATCGCCTTCCTTTAACCTATTGGGAAGCTGCCTGTACGATTCCATTAACATTGTTTGTCCCTCACATGACCTTTCCATGAGAAGACTGAAAGATGATCCTGTGCGCCCTTAAAAAAAAGCCTTGTGCACATAAAGTGTGCTCGGTGGTAATTACTTATATGGCACCAACATGAGGAGGTTCAGAATTTGGAGTCCTTTGGAGGAAAGATTAAAGAAAAAAAGTCTCCTCGCTGGGAGGATGGAGGTGAGGTTATACAACCAAGTGGAGACATTTTGGGTTTGATATCCTGTGTTGTTACAGCAGTGAAATAAAACTCTGTCACTGTCCCAGGCCATTCATCCTTAATGTGAAACAGCATCTGATGTCTCATCTCTATGAGAGCTTGGGACAGGAGGACAGTTGCTTCTCAGGCTGAGGAAAGGGCTTTGTGGGAAGCCCAAAGCGATATGGGAGATGGTGAGAGGATGGACAAGACATGAGGATGCCCATGGAACCATCTGAATTTTAACCATTCTTTATATTTGCCCAGGGAAGCCCAGAAGGTGCAAATCATCCATACTCTGTGATTAAAACCATTGAAGTGCTAGTGATGGAGTACCTTGTCTCAGGCTGGGCTCAGAATTCTTTCTCTCTAATCTCTTTTCTTCATAGAGGCTAGTTCAGGACCACTTTAAAGAGCAGCTAGTTTTGAGTTATAAGGAAGTGATGTGTTCAACAGAAACCATCATTTGCTCTTACAAAGCTCCAAGTTGGAAGGACTTTTTAAAGAAATGCTCACTTTTTTCAGCTGTGGTTCTGTTGCATCCAGCTGATGAATGCTGAGGCCTCTTGTGATATCTGCTGTGAGCTCAGTGCCCATCCTCATATATACACTCTAGTACCTACTCGTGCGTGGGCCCAGCAAATGGATACTGTCCTGCTGCTAGTTCCTCTGTGTCCAAATGAACCTTGGAGCGATGATTCTCTGCACCATAGGAAACCTGCTTTAACAGGATTTAATACATCACAATTTAAGGAATAATAAACCTTCCTCGGCAACAAAAAAAAATGTTTAATTCCTAAAGGACAGCCCTAGTTGAGTCACTTTTGGCCAGGGGCAATTGGGGGCTTAATGCTGTGTGTGTAGCAATCTGGGCAATCTGAAAGAGAAGAGTTCCAGGGTAATTGCTCAATTTTCTGTCCATGTCAACAGGGGAAATGGGCAGTGGTGGCTGAGCGTGTGCAGCAGGGAAGCTGCATGAGATGTGAGGCTATCTGTGGAATTAAAAAAGTGCTATCTGCAGAGCAATGTCTTCCTTTCTGTAGCAACAAGGAGCTTCCCCAGGTGCAGACTACTATCTGCTGTGCCAATGCAGCAGGGCAGGGTGGCTTAATTCAAACTGGAAGCCTCCCTCTCCCTTTGTTTTTCTCTCTCTAGCAGGATAGCAGAGTCTCTCATTACTTTACTTAGGTATTTCATTCGCTGTTACTCCTTTTGTGTGTCTTTCTGACACGTGCCTAGAAAGGGCTGGCTGCTGTTGGTTAAGGAATCTCTTGCTCTGCTTTTAGAGCTGGGAATTCTGTTCTTGTTCTGTTTCCCCACCAGGAAACTTGCTTGATCTTTTGGGGCGAAGGTTTCCTCTGTGTTGCCTGCTTGTTGTTTGGCCAAGTTGTGCTCCCGGAGACTCCTGTCTCTTTGTCTCGCTGCCCTTGGACTTTTTTTCCCAAGTAGTGGGGAAGTAGTTTGTGTGTTGAGGGGAAAGGTAGCGGGGGGAGTATTTTCCAAGAAGTAGTGGGGACTTCTTAGATAAGATTGTCATCTCTTTTCCAGTTCCCTGGCATTTCTCTGGCCACTTCTTTTCCAGTTATCCTTCCACTATGATCTGCTCCCTCATCTTCCAAAGTCCTTTCCACCTTCCCTCTGTTTCCTCCGGGAATGCATAGCCCTTGGAACTGGGGCTTTTCCTGGAGGATGGGGATGTGACATGTGTGATTTGCTGTCTGTGGGAACAACAGCTTGTTATTTTAAAGCCAGCAGTGTGTGTGAATGAGAGAGCTGACTGAAATGAAAGCCTGACTCTGCTGCACAGACAACCCAAACCTGACCTGCAGGTGAGGGAAGCTGCCAGGAGACAGACACTAGATCTGTGCCCTCAAGGCAACCCCCTTCCTGCCTGCTGGGAAGCCTCCTTGAGGAAGCAGAACTGAGGATAGGATCTCTCTGTGCAATGTCAAGCCTTTAGAAGGGCTTCTTACCCTTCTGGGGTGTACAGGCAGCTCCTCTGCATCTGAACAGGACAGGAGTCCAGGCTCTGTGCACAATAGGAGTCATAGGAAATATTTTAAAGCTCCAATGTAGGTTAATATTGCTTGCTTGGGAGAGAAAAAAAATAAAAATTAAGTGGGCATGTGCAGTGGTCCATGTGTCTGCTGTGGACTGGTGTGTGCCAGTCAGGTGGGGGCTGGATTTTACAGGATATCCAGCACTAGGATTTCATAGCTATAAAATACCCTTCCTGAGCTGCCTGCAAGTAGGCAGCAGTGGTGAAAATGCTGAAAAAAGAATTCTGAATACCGCACTTTGCAGGTTAGGGTTGGCTGTATCATTTTGGATAGAGTTTGAGTTGCTTTGCTGCTGAGTTGCTCTTTTACGGGACACACCAAGTGCTGGTGGGTTCCCAGAGGCTGTGAGCTGCAAGGAATTTGTGATGGGGCATTAGAGCTGTAATGGCTGAGCACTGGGCAGAATGGTGGGAGATGGGGAACTAGCAGGGAAGTTCAGGGAGAGGGACAGTGGATAATTCCAAGGGCAGGGAGAGAGTGGGAACATGATTTGCAGGGAGCTAGATTGCACAAATGTGCCAAGCAGCATTGAAATGGAGACAGAGTGAAAAATCTGATGTTTGAGAAGTTGTATGAATTGGGGTAAAGAGAAGGATGTGTGGCACAGAGATGGTGGCTGCTGGGCTTCTTGGATTTTGCATTGTGACTTTGTGTGTCCTTGTCCCTGTGTGTCACTGGGGGATCCTTCAGTGCACCGGAGTCCTGCCTTGGCTGCGCCAGGAAGGCTCTACCTGGTG